CTGCAAGAGAAGGGTGACCAGTTACAACCCAAGATACCCATCTCCAATCATATTGAAGCGTTCGGAAGCTGGAGACTGTGTTCCCCATACAATTGATCGGGCTTCTTCCGCAGGTAGTAATTAAAGGAAAGTAGAGTCCACAATACTACCATCTATGTTCCCTAAGGTTCGCATTTCCCACGTTTTTGGTAATCCTGGGAGTTATTACAATCGCTTAGGATCCTCATTCTGACTTATGTTGATATTCCACTTTTGTTTATTCTCTGTTAAATTTGAAAAAATTCAATTACACTTCTATCGTCACAAGAGTCGTATAACTTATTTAAAGATCTTTCCACAGAGTTCTCTATGTATTGTATGCGTTTTTTTAATTTGATTTCCAGTGCTCTCGTGACGATATTTCAACAAAATTACGTCAGGACCTGAGCCAAATTCCTGCTGTTCACATATCTAACCCAAAAACATCTGATTTCCAGGTAATTCTCTTACTTTGCTTATGTAACTTTTTGGTAGGCTTCTGCACACGAACACATTCCGGTTCTTATGATCGTTTGAGATATGACGTAGACCCAAAATTTTCTGTGATTTTGGCACGGTTCCCTGGCCAGACATACCTTCATTTGTTTCAATCATGGTCCTTACCTCCCTATCGTTGCACAGAATGAGTGAGGCTTGTTTTACATATAGTGTTAGCTAAAAATGTATTGCAGCGCATTCTCCAGCTCACACGCGAATCATACGGACGTACTCGATTACAAGGTCGGTCCGCCTCAGCGAATGAGATGTCAGTATTGATCTGACCCCGTTGATTGTCCGGTCTGACGGCATTCTGCTTTGTAGGTGCGGTTAAGCCAGTGGTTGGTCAGCTTGCTCACCTATCCATGGATCGGATACCTGTATGTGCATACACTGCACATGGAAGATGTGCTTAATTTATTTACATAAACGGGACATAAAACTATCCCATAAACAAAATTTACGGAAGACATATCTGGTAAAGTAATTGATACTCTAATAAACCCACCTATACAGAACAACGGATTTCATTGAAGATTTCCATTACAATATCTGAGAAAACACGAAATAGCGAACAAGCTCGTTTTCGATAACTCCCTCATCTGGCTAATACAGTTATAGGTAATAGGCATATCACATTTGCATAATTTTTGACATACGTGCGGATTGGATTGATAGATACAAATACTCGATTGTGTGTGGTTTACAAAAAGAATCATAGAGAAGGTAGAAGTAGGCAATTTATCTTTGAGGTTCATGGAAATAATCGGTTGATTGGTGAACTGGAGGCGTAACTGTGCCGCCAGAAGTGTGCGTGTGATGGATAGCTCCTTTTCTTCGTACAATCATAATCACTTCAAATTCACTACGTGGCCATGGTAGTTGTAGTGCCTTACCAAATCGCTTTTGGGAACAAAGTGATGGATTAAACAAACGGATAGCCACTGCCTTAGCTGTTGGTAAATGTTGTTGACGAACAGCCTTAGACGGAAAATGAGGCACCCGGTAGATCACCTTCTTCATTCACAGTATTTGCGAGATGTTCCACAATGGCACTTGAGATGGTTTTCCTGACCCCAGTACTCAACCAGGCTGGTTTGTGCTCCTTGATCCTCTGGGAAAACTGCCTGATGGTTCTACCTACGTAGCTTGCCGAACATGAACAAACGATTGAGTAGGTAAGCCAACATGGACTGGGCAATATATTCATTTTGCTGGCTTCGCATCACTGACACGGAAACGAAACCTTATCTGTTCCCTCGCAGCCCATGCAAGAAACATTTGCACAGAAGACGGCTTAGCACACAAATTGGAGAGTATAAAACTAACGCTTATATCTAATGGTTAGCCGGAACGGTTCATTCAGAAAAATTTATACGAAACACCCAAGAGACCTCCAATGACAACAGTGACTTATACCTATGACTTCCATCCGAGGGAGATTACAAAAGTAAGCTGATCATCCGGCATTTAGAAAGATTCATCACACGCACACTTCTGGCGGCACAGTTACTCCTCCAGTTCACCAATCAACCGATTATTTCCATGAACCTCAAAGATAAAT